GAGGACCTCGCCCCTGTCACGAGGCCCGCGGCCGCTGGCACTGAGCAGCCACCCCTCACCGACCGCGAAACCGAGCTGTCCCAGGCTATGGCCGCTCTCCAGCAGAGGTGCGCTGCTCTCGCCGCGGACCTCGCCGCCGCTCAAGCCCGCCAAGGCCCTCTACTCCAGCGCCTCCACAGCGCCGGGCGAGCCTTCGCCGAGCTGCTTACGCCCTCGCCCGATGGTGCCGTGCCGTCACTCACCACCCAAGCTATGCTGTCATCGTTCCGCGGCGCTCCACCTGGTGCCCCGCGCTAATCTCCTCCTTTCTGCCTGCCCGTGAGTACGCGTGGCTCCGCGTCCACGGTGTCAGGGCGTGGGGGCGGGGGGTGCCCCGTCACTGCGCGCCGCTTTGCGGCCAAGCGCCCAACTGGCGGTCTGCCAAGCCGCCTAGCCACGTGTCAGCACGTCGCCTTTCTTGTTGGGGCCTCTTTCTTTACGCGGTCTGACAGGTGAGATCATCACCGTCTGTCCGCCGTCTGTAGCGTCTGTCGCACTGCGCCGGGGGAGGGGTTTTTTGTTGCCCGCCCTCGTATCTAAAGGCTGCACCGCCGCAAATAGTGTTTAGCGAGTTGTCGCACCGCAGTGCGCCTCGCGGACGGACCCTGGTCCGCCTACTTGTCCGCTCTCTCTCTCTCTCTCTCTCTCTCTCTCTCTCTCTCTCTCTCTCTCTCTCTCTCTCTCTCTCTCTCTCTCTCTCTCTCTCTCTCTCTCTCTCTGTTTATGACTCTCTTTCTCTCTTCTGGGAATCACGAGCGGGGCGTCGCCGCCCCCGGCCCCCTTCGCGGCGCCAGGGCGGCGGAGGCGCGCCAGACCACGGCGCGCGGCTGAGAGAAGGGGCGCGAGGAGGAGGAGGAGGAGGAGGAGGAGGAGGAGGAGGAGGAGGAGAGAGGAGGGGGAGACTAGAATTGCAAGGCGGATGATGCGAAAGAGAATCGCTTCTCGGAGGTATCATAGCAGCGCACGATAGCGACGCATTAAACAGGTGCAGGAGGTACGCCTTGGGCCAGACGCCCATGGCGACCCCCGCGTACACGCAACCCCTGCTATACCACAGCCTGTCCTAACATGCTTAAGGATTTGTGGCCTACCGTTCGAGACCGGCGGTCAGACAGGTCCGTCGCGCCTCGTTGGCGGCCCGAACGCAAACCGCCCAAGCCACCACCGAGACCCGACAGACGAGTCACACTAAACATGTACAGTGCTCGAAGGGACAGAAGAGGGGCCATGCTGACCACCCCCTTTTCATAAACGGATGCACTGCGCAAAAGAACTTCTGCCGACCAGGCCCCTCATAAAAACTGTTGTCACGACCGAACGGAAGGACTGGCAGCAGACGACTGGAGGGGCGCAGAATGACTATTCAAGGACTCAACGCGCCACGGCCTGCTGCCGCGCAAACATAGTCCATGGGGACAGCCCCCCACATGCATGGACCACTACGTCGGATGCGCGAACATTCGTGGCATGCGAAGATATGTGTACTTAACTTCCTCTCCCCCACTCTCCGACGTACTGCGTCGCATTCGCAAACGCAGTTCGCAGCATGCGAGTCGGCCGACTCAGTCGCGAACACAGCCCGGATATGCGACGCCGAGTGGGTCACTCAGCGGCGTCGTCGTTGTCCTTGATGGCGATCCTGTAGCCGAAGCTCGGCGCCGTCTTCTCGCGCCGCTCCTCGCCCAATCTCACTGCGGAGCGTTCGTCAGCCAGCTTCCCCATCCACGACGTCGAGGATGAGCTCCCGCCCGATGCCCCCCTTCGCCACGGGGTCGGCCCCCGCGTCGCGGGCGTCGCACCACGGCGCGTCGGATAGATCTTCGATGCACAGCAGGTCTGCCAACCACCATAGGCGGCCTGCCACGCGATTCCCCGGCAGCGGCCGCGCGCGGCCCAGAGCTCGCGCGAAGAAGACGGGCGCGCCGTCCGCCGCCAGCTTGACCGGCACAACGTAACCCCCGTCCTCCATCAGCTTCCCGATCTCATCTGCCGAGGCGGCACCGCGCGCCATCTCGCGGGGCGCGAAGAGGCGCGACTGCAGGCCGTCTGCTGCCCCGCACGCCGCGAGCAATTCGGGCCTAAGCGAGGGCGCGCGCTCAAGTTAGCGCGATCGGCTCACGGGTTCGCGCAAGTGGCAAATCTGATTACCAGCGAGGCGGCACTTGCCCAGATTCACGCACGGCGTCGCGCATGCCGCATCCTGTCTCCGCTCCACGCTTGAACGAGCCGTTTCTGCGCGCATAGATCTGGCCCGCGCGCTCCGTCGTCGGGGAGGCGACGCGCGCTGCGATCTTCTGCGCGGCCCGAACAACGGAGCTGACCTCCATGACGCGCCTGATGAGCTTGCTCTCGGCCAGTTGCAGCGCGACGATGGCGACGGCAACGCGGCGTCGCGCGAGCAGAACGCTGGCGGCTGCTCCGAGGAGGGCGACACGAGGGTCTGGGAGTGGGCCTCTGGGCGGCGCGTCGGCCATCGGCTTGACCAGGTCGACGCGCCCGACGGGGATCAGCGCGTCGATGTACTCGTCCTGGTCGAGCGTCGCTATGCCATCGGCACTGCGGCGTTGCTGGACTCCGCAATTGGCGAAGTCGTCGCAATTCCCTTCGCCTTGCCGAGGGCGCCCTCGATGTGGCCGATGAATCGGTCGACGCGCTCCTCGCGCACTATGGCCTTTTAAGATCGCCGGCGCCCTTGGCCCGAGCGCTAACTCTGCGCCGCAAACACCACGGGCGCTGGGCGACTCGCGTTTGACCTCGAGCTATGGGCCCCACCGCGTCAGCCCAGCGCTGCACTCGGGCGAGCACATGGCCCTGGCGAGCATCATGGAGAAGGCCCCGGGCGCACCCTTGCAGCCCATGCCCGGCTCGACGCAGCGCAAACACTCGGTCGGTTCGTCGAAGGACTCGCAGCCCGGGGCCTGCCCGAGGACGGCCGCGCAGCCCGGGAGGCAGGGTGATGTTCACCTCATTTGGTGCTTCACCTTGCTCCAGCAATTAGGCGCAGGCCGCGCTTTGCAGGGGGGCCCCTTCAACGCCCACGGCGACGCGCACCCGGCGCGGGCGACAAGCCGCCCCTGAAGACATAATGCGCTGAGACGCCCGCTCCGCCGCGCCGGCGAACGCCCCCAGGGCTCCGGCCCCCGCGTCTCGAAACCCCTCAGCGCCGCGGGGCGCCGGACGATCCTGACGGTCTTGCCGTCTGAACCCCCTGACGCTTCCATTCGAACACGCGCCTGAAGCCCAAGACGCCCCGAGTGCCTGTTAGAGGGCGTCGCTCGAAACGACTGCGATTGACCCGGATATTGAGCTCCTCAAGGATAGCGGCGGCCTCCTCTTTGGTCAGTCTCGACACCTCCTTTTTGGCACGGAGATCGGCGTCGCGCTTGATGACCGCGGTCTCGACGGCGGCGTAAACCTGAAGCGCGGCGGTGATTGGCCCGCCAGAAACAGAAGTTGCCCTCGCGCCAGCTCAGCAAGTGCTTCTCGCACTCCTGGGTCCACGTATGGCTCCACTAGGCTTCCTCCTGTATCCTCCTCCAGCTTGGCGTAGTCGTCTGAAGTGGCGCCGCGCAGGTAGTAATCACATTGCGCGTGGACGTGCTGGAGCTGGCGCTGAATCTCCCAAATGCTGGGGCCACTCGCGCGGTTAGCGGCCAATGCTGGAGGCCGCGTGCTCGACGGCAGCGTGGCCCACATGTTGGCCGCATGGGCACTCCAGCTCCTGTAGCTCCTGCGCGCCTTCGACCTCCTGCCAAGCTGCCAGCATCACCTGTTGGATGTGGTCGGGAACCTTCCCGGGTATCACCCACAGGGCTGATGGTGAACCGCCCTCGGTGGCGTTGGCGGCGTTATCAGGAAGGTCGATGGCACAATCATCGAATGTTCCGTTCTGGCCTTGCCTGGCGTCGGCTGCCAGTCTCAGTTCGTCACCCAAGGCAAACTGGGTGATGCGAGGGCCCTTCCAGTGCTCGCCGACGAGGCTGTGGGCGTCGAGCCTGACGCCGTCCAAATGCAATCCCCACGTCGTCGAAAACAGCACCCATGGCGGCCCGTGCATCCTGCACTCTGCTGACCACCTCGGCGTTGCGGCACTTGGCCGCAACCTGGCCTTCAGCCGGGCCCACAAAAAGGACACTGCCAGGAACTGCCCACCCTGCTGTGTCCTTGGTGCTGGGAGGCCAGTGGATATCCACCTGCGTCGAAGGCGCGCGGCCCGACGGCCAGCATCTGCGCCCAAGTTGTTGTTCAAAATCGGCCGAGCGCCTGAGCCCAAATGAGCACAGGCATCAGGCAGATTCAGAGGATGCACATTCGTGTTGCCAATCGGGGGTGGACCTTTTGATCTCCACGAAGGGTCCAACACCAATGGGTCCCGACGCCACCCACCTCTAGCTATCAATAGGCTCCCCAGGCAGCGCTGGAGGCCTCCAAAAGGCATCCAAAAGATCCCCAAGACAGACCAAAGGGACAACCAGAACAGCCCAAGACGCCCTCAAGTTGCGTCTACGGTGGTGAACATATTCGGAGGCACGACGGCACGAGCATCAATGTCATAGCAATGTTAAAGAGACAGCAAGCATCAGATGTGGCTGTAGACACGGCCAGGCTAAGCGCAGCCGTAAGCTCGCACATAGACTCCAGATCGCCATGCGAACGAGTTTGTGTAGCCACATAGGTTCGCTTATCCGAGAACTGCTCCTGTCTACAAAATCAGCGAACGTGGAATTTCTCAGCACAGCTCTTCTGCGCAAACTATTCCTGCTACTGATCCTCCTAGTTCACCTGCGTCACTCCTCTTGAACAATCCTCCAGTCCCTCCCCACATGTTCTCAAGATGGCACCAATAGAACCAATACCGGAAGTACTGTCAACATCAATCGCGCTCTTCAACGTGTGTCCAATGCTGACGCTGTAAGCTCTGTGGAAAACCCGGCAGGCATCAGAAGCGCGAAGCCAGGGACCATGAAGGGCTTCCCGAGCTCCAGCTTGCCCTGCGGGGAAGCTAAGAAGCCGCCCAAAGCCACCCCCTCACAAACCCAGAAACCCGTCTCCCCATTATTCCACCTCCTCCTCCTTCTCAGGCCACCTCTCCAGAAGCGGCTCGAGCAGAGTTTCCTGGCAGACGGGATTTGCAGGCAAATGTGGCCTGAAGGACGTGCGAGGTCCAGCACGGCGGAAATCACATTACGACAATCGATCGCATGGCAAACGGCAAACACGCTCAAACGGAAATTCCCCCCACCACCCCCCCAGGGGTGCTCCGTGAGCGGAGGCAAGGCTGGGCTGCGTTACGGTTTGATGTTTGTGTTAGGGCGAGTGGGCTCGGCGGCAACCGCTGTGGCGGCCTTACCTCTTTGGGGTCGGCCCGGCGATGGCCTCGCACGGTATACGACTCACACGCTATGGGCGATGGGCGTACCGCAACCTGGAACTACAGACCCTCTCATTGAAGTTGGCCGCACCGGCCGCACAAACTCCAGAGGAAGAACTGAGCTATTTCAGCCGCTTCAAAGGGCTTCGTCATGGTTACTGTGAGGGGGCACCCACTGTTTACACAGGTACATAATCGTTACACCACCGACCCACGTTTCTTCCCAACACGCTCCCTCCTTCACACTCCCTTGTCATGCCTCGCCCCGCGGATGCCTGTTACGTTAGGTGCAAACCAGTGCCAGCAAGCATCGAGGGCATCGGATATTTTAGGTGTTGTTCGCTTGCCCCTGTGGCAGCCGCTGCAGCTGCCAAGTGAACATCCTTCGTAACCCTGCAATACGCTCGGTGTCGATGGTCACTGGTAAATCTGGAACGGCGCAGTTTACAATTTTTCTCGGCACAAGATTGGCGCGAGGCCGCCACATGATCCGCCTCGCGTCATGCTCGCGGACGCTATTGGCCAACACAGCGACCCTGGTCGTCAGGAGAGTGGAGAAAACCTGCCGACCACCGCTTGCCGGGGGTGAAAAGGCGTGGGCGACACTCGGTTGCCCCACCTTCCCTCCTTTCCCCCTCCCCCGGGGTCCAAAACCTAATTTTACTGGGGGGGGGTTCCATGCGATCTCTCCAACTGTCTCCGGGGCCCTCGGAACCTCGCAATTCATCGCCCGTGGACTCCAAGATGCCCCATGTACAATCGAAAACGGCTCAAGAAGGGCGTCAAAACCCGCGAACGGGCAGAGCAACACCCAGAATGGCCCACAAGCGGCCAGCGATGCCCCCAAGACGCCACAGGAGGGCCAAAGAAGCCACAGGGGGGCCTCAGAGGCAAAACTTCTAAATCTTTTAAGGCGTTTTCATATATTTTTCCGGGCTTCTGCAAGCCCGAGGCGGTCCGCGAGATGCCCCCGAACTGGCGAATCGTGGTGCAAGAAGCCCCCAAGAAGGCCCAGAGGCAGCACAAGAAAACCACACTACGGCCCAAGAGGCCCCCAAGACGGACAAAAAGGCAGTAACTCTTGGGCCCCATGCACCCTGGGAGGGGTTCTCTCCGAACGCCGCCACGCACGCCCATGCCGATCCACATCGTCTGGGGAATGTCCACGCCTATGCCGCCCGCCATTTTGTAGCGCAGTCGTGTTACACATGGACCAAAATGAATACGCATGACACCATGCATTCAGTTCGGTTTTACACGCCCACCACAACGCGCGTTAATGAACTGTTCTGTGTCAAAGAAAACGTGGCACGTCCTACTGCGTGTTGAGACCGCACGGAGACCATAACAGATGTGACACAACCGTGCGGACATTAACTAACCCCCCGCTCCTCGAACCTCGCGAAAGTTTCCTGGAGGTGGCCAAGCCCCGCAATGTGTGAGGACGTATCCAACGGAACGGAGCCACAGGTAGGTCAAACCAGACCAACCAAGCAAACTTCGAGGACGTCTCGAACAAAACAGGACCCCAACCCGGCCAAACCGGACAGACTCTGACGATGTCTCTGGCGAGGCGCGCGGCCAAACCAGGCCAAGCTGGGCCAAACCAGGCGCAAAACCAGGCAGATGTTGAAGACATCCCGACCACAATCGCCCAGACCAAGCTCCATCCATTCTCCGACATAAAGTTCTCGAATTAAACGGAAAGGGCCCCTCCTGCCCCCCCCCCCCGAAGGCGGAGACCTGAAACGAGTTTCACGAGGGGGGGGGGGCGTTTGGACCGTTGGGCGCAGAGGCTCCTTCACTCGTTGTTCGGATGCTGTTGGGGCCTCGGTGTGGTGCTCGGAGAAATACTTCCGAGTCTGTGGATGGGCCCAAGGCAGGCCCGAGAGGGGGAACTCGCAGAGGGCCCCGACGGCACCCCCGCACTTTTTCCGTCGCGGCGCGGCAGAAGCATCCCGCACGCGCGCCCAAGCGAAACGAGGGCACGGAGTCGCGAATTGGCCCGCGTTCAAGACGGGGGGGGGAGGGGAGGCGGCCGCAGAGGGGAGGGGGGAAGGCGCGGGGGCGCACTCACGCAGCGAGGCTGCGGCGGGTGCGTGGGCGCGGCCTGGCTGAGGGGACCCACTCACGCAGCGGATGCGGGTCAGCGTCGCAGTGCGCCGAGGGACGGGAGCCAGCAGCCACAGCGGGCGACGCCCAACACGTCGAGTTGGCCAACTGCCAGAGGACCGTCTACATGAGGAGCTTCAATGGTGGTTTTGTTGCCAGTGTGGACATCATGTTAGTCAGAGTTCGCGAGGCCTTGGGCGCGCATGCCACCAGGCCACGAACCCCACTCGAGCTGAATATCTCGCCAATATTCTCGCAGGGAAAGAACCGAAGATCCTCAGCCGCTCTGAGTTCGCTCAGCGGGCTTCGCAATTTCACCCGACATCGCTTCGCGACCGTCACCAACTCACTCACTCACTCACGCACTCACTCACTCACTAACTCACTCACTCACTCATTCACTCACTCCTCCTGTTGAACGCAGCCACAGACACCCGCAGTGCAAGAGACACTCACTCACTCACTCCTCCTCCTCCTCCTCCTCCTCCTCCTCCTCCTCCTCCTCCTCCTCCTCCTCCTCCTCCTCCTCCTCCTCCTCCTCCTCCTGCTCCTCCTCTTCCTCCTCCTCCTCCTCTACCTGCTCCCCTTCCTCACCTACCCCCTCGGCCTCCTCCCAATTCAAGGAGAGGCTGTCCTGCCGCCTCGCGAGCCCCGCCCGCACTGCGAGCACCGGCTGACTAGGCATGTCCTCCGCCTGCATCACGGTCACTTCCATACCCTCGCCGTGCAGTTGACCCCTGGCCTATGCGCGCAGCTGAGGAAGAGGCGGAAAGAGAGGGTGATGGGAAGAGGGGGGAAGAGGGATAATGGTAAAGGGGGAGAGCGTGGCAGGGGAGAGGGTGGCAGGGGGAGGCGGGGATGTCGGGGTAGATGGGGAATGGAGGAGAGGGGAGAGAAGGAATGTGGATAGGGCGAGAGGGGGGAGGGGGGAAAAGGAGGGGGGGAAAGGAAAGAGGAAGAGGACTAGAAAACATGATCGACCCACGAACCCAGAAAGGAATCTAGAAATGTAAGGCATAGCAACGTTTTCAGAGACACCTGATTGGGTACCGGGCAAATGCAATGCTGAGTGTATCGATCTTGATATACCGTGCCAAAGACTGTGCTGCGCCGTGTTGAATTGCGATGTGCCGTGCCGCGATTGTGCTCTATTGCTTTGTGGATCGAGTCCTCCGAGTCCTGACCGAACTGATCTGGGTCTTAAGCTCGAGCTGCCTCAGCACATAGTAGCTGCCCCAGAGCTAATAATTGACAGGGGGACATACCAGGAGGACGCGCCGGGGAACGTCCCAAGGGCCACGCCAGGCGACGTGCCAGGGGACGTACCATGGGGACGCACCGCGGGACGCGCCAAGAGGATGCGCTACGGAACGTGCCAATGGAGGTGCCACGGGACGTGCCAGGGGACGCGCCGCGCGACGTGCCAGGGGGGCTCGCCAGGTGACGCGCCAGGGAACGTGTCAGGGAACGTGCCAAATTGCAATGCTGAGCATATCGATCTTCATGTACCGTGCCGACGGCTTTGCTGTCCCTGGGCGACCTGGACACGTGAAGACAAGCGTTTCGATCAAGACATTCTCAACACATCCTCATGCTAGACATCCGCCTGGGCAACCTGGACACGTGCAAACTAGCGTCTCGACCGAGACTTCCTCAACATATCCTCGTGCAAGACATCCGCCTGGGCGACCTGGACGCGTGAAAACAAGCGTCTCCCTCGAGACGTCCTCAACAAATCCTCATGCTAGACATCTGCCTGGGCAACCTGGACGAGTGAAACCAAGCGTCTCGCTCGAGACACTTTCAAGACCTGGGCACGTGAAAACACGCATGTCACTTGAGAGATCCTCTGAACTCTGGTCCCAATGAGAAGACAAATATAACACAAAACAAGCGTTTCGCTCGAGACATCCTCAGCAAACGTATACACAACAAGCGCTCTGCTCGGGAAATCCTCAAATTTTAGTTCGCCTGCCCTCTCCGACCTCGTCGTTTATCACAAAAGAAATTCGCGGCCCCTCGTCGAACTTTGCACCAGGGACAGGTTTACCAACCAACAGAGAACCCTGAGCTTATGCGTAAGTCGGGCGTCCCCCTACAGGGGAATTTTAGACGAAAAAATAAAATAATAAACAAATACTCAAAAGATGCTCAAAAATATTCAAAAAATAATCCACAGGCTATGTTTTAACTATTTTGAATATTCCCCCTGTAAGGGGACAGGCCCGACTTAAGCCTATAACCCCTTTCAGGCACGCTGGGCCACAGGGGCGCCAACAAAAACACCCTGCGCGAACAATTGCTCCTGGGTTCACCTACTAACATGATCGACCCACGAATCCGGAAAGGAATATAGACTTGTAAAGCATGGCAACGTTTCAAAGACACCTGATTGGGCGACGGGCAAACGCAATGCTGAGTGTATCGATCTTGATGTACCGTGCCGAGTGCTGTGCTGTGCAGCGCCGTGCTGAATTGCGATGTGCCATGCCGCGATTGTGCTCCATACCGTTGTGGATCGAGTCCTCCTTTGCAACCGAGTCCTGACCGAACTGATCTGAATCTTAAGCTCGAGCTGCCTCAGCACGCTCGAGACATCTCCCAATTTTGCAAAACCAGCGCTTCGCTTGAGACATCCTCACCAAATTATGAAAAACAAGCGTTTCGCTAGAAACATCCTGTCAAAATCCAAGGACCTCCTGGAAAAACAAGCGAATTAGTCGAGACATCCTCGAAACTCCTGCGCGCGGGACGCGGCACGCGCGATACATCCTCGGAATTCCTGCGCGCGGGACGCTTTTCCGCGTCGCAGACCTCGGTTATTGTTCGAGGATTCTGCTCTGCTAAAAATGGTCCGCACCCTCTTTTTCACGAAGGAAAACGGTGGTCCGCGGACCCTGATATTTATCAAGGATCCGAGCTGGGGGAGCGCACTTTCCTCGAGCGGGCACGCGCAAAACGTTTTTTCCACGCCGAATCAAGCGTTACCTCGTTTTTTATCGATCGGAAATCCGCCGGCCTCCTTCAGGTCAAAACCGGAGGTAAACCAGCTAAAAGAGAAGCCTGGGCCGGCGCCCTTTCCGGGAAAAAGGAAAAAGGGGGCACGATGACGCTGGAAAGCGCGCGGGCGAAGCGTTAAGAGGGGCACGGGCGAGGACGACGACAACGCAACAACACCAGCCACAATCACGTTTAAGACTGTTCGCTCTTCTGCTTGCGTACCATTCAACACGTGTTTCCCGCACCCCTGATTGATGTGTGTCCTCTTTGTCTTCGATCATACCCCCCTTAGAAGTTGTTCCTTACCTGCCGCGCGTTGTCGGCGCAGTCCCTAACACAGGGGAAGAGAGGGAGGATGGAAGGAAGGGACAAGGGGGCAGGAAAAGGATGGAGCACGAGAGAAACTAACAGGAGAGGGGGGTAGGAACCGAAAACAAGTGACAAAGTCAGACGGGCGCATCGGGAGGGTGGACCTTGCTGGACGGGCCCGGGCGGCTGGGTTGAGCGGGCGAGTCACTCTGAAGCGTTCGTCATACACATGAATCGCGAAGAGGTCTCGAACGACAGCGCGATTCCAAGTAAATCGTGAGGAACTCTAAAGCGAGAGAATGATTCCTGAGTGTCGTGGGCGCCAGGGTGTTCCCCACAACTTCCTCCTACTCGGAGTACGAGCCGACTCCCTGGTGGGACGGGGGATGGGGAAACGGCGCCACTCCGGCCCCCGTGACACCCGGGAGTAGGAGCCTACTGTGGGTGTAGGCTCGTGCTCTCGGGGGAGGAGCCTACTCCCCACAGAACAGCGCCACCCCGTGCCCCGTCCCACCGGGAGGAGTAGGATCCGATTTTGGAATAAGAGCACACTCGGAGAATGAGCCCACTCCCAGAGTATGTCCCACTCCCCGGGGAGTGGGCTCCTCCTGCTCCCCTGGGGGTAGACTCCCGCTGCGGCAGTAGGCTCCTGCCCGCAGTGGGCGGGTACTCCGCCAGTGGGCGCCTGCTCCCAGCGCAGGGGCCTGCTCGGAGCAGGAGCCCACTCCCGAGACAGGCTCCAATTCCCCGGAGAGCAGGCTCCTACTCCCCTGGGAGCAGGCTCCTGCTGCGGCGGCAGGCTCCTACCCGGAGCAGGCTCCTTCTCCGGGAGCAGGAACCCACTGCGTTGCGGGAGTCGGTTTCTGCTCCCCGGGGGGAACCTACTCCACACGGCAGGGCTGAACCTAAACGGTGCTTTTCGTTCTCGTTTTGTGTTCGTTTTCCCTCGCTTGTGTCTCGAATCCACCTTTACCGCAAAACGAAGTCAAAACGAAAACGGCCCACGAAATCACCAAAAACACCGTTTAGGTCCAGCCCTGCCACGCGGGACGGTGCCACCCCGTCCCCCGTCGCACCCGAGTGCGGGCTCCAACTCTGGGAGTAGGAGCCTACTCCCGGCAGCATAGGCTCCTACTCCTGGCGTAGGAGCCTAACCGTGATGAGCCTTTACAAAGCCCTCCTGTAGGGGGTAACCAAGTATTCCTGTCGGCGGCCTTATTCATGGACTGGGGTCCCACCAATGGGAGGTAACTGCTGTTTGTTCCGCCGCACCCGCTGCGCAACAACGACGACGACAGCTACGACTACGATTGCGACTACGAGTACGAGGACTACTACGATTTACGCCTCAGTGCTCTCACGGAAAATCCTAGCTCAGAAACTCGATCATCAGAAACTCGATCCTCATAACCTCCATCCCCAGAAGGACTGTTGAAACTCAGGCCTCACGAGGTATTCAGAAGCTCCACCCTCAAAGGCTGCATCCTCAGAAAAAATGAGAAACGCCTTCGGCGAATAATGTCTCGATCTATGTTGCAATCCTTGTACAAACGCGCTCAAAATTCAGCCGTGGCGTAGGGTAGCCCAGGGGCATTATTTCCTGGAAGAGAACACCCCCAGACATGATCCAGCCCGCCCAACAATAGAAGGACAAACATCTGGGCCGCGACGAAGACGCCGCTTACAACTACGACTAATAATGCGATTACGCATACGACTACAACCACGACGAAGATCACGACTACAATGGCGACTACAGCCACGATTCCAATCATGATTCGAACCGCAACTACAATCACGACCACAACCACAATCACTGATTCCCCTTGCGATCCTCATGGGGAGATGCTCGCATATCCTCGCGCGTGTGAGTAGCCCAAAGTGGATTATTCCCTGGGAGAGAACGCTCAACATTATCCAGCCCGCCCAATCACAAAGGGCACCGAATCTCCGCCTTAACGGTGACGACGACACTGACGACGAAAACGACGACTACGATGGAAATAATGCTAGTAATAAGAGTACTCGTGGCAGTAGCAATCATAAAAATCAAAGTAGAAGCAGTAGTAGTAGTGGTAGTAGTAGTAGTAGTAGTAGTAGTAGTAGTAGTAATAGTAGTAGTAGTAGTAGTAGTATCAGTAGTAGTAGTAGTAGTAGTAGTAGTAGTAGTAGTAGTAGTAGTAGTAGTAGTAGTAATAGTAATAGCAGTCGCAGTAGTATTAACAGTAGTAGTAGCAGTACTGGCAGTACTGTAGTAGTAGTAGTAGTAGTAGTAATAGTAGTAGTAGTAGAACTAGTAGTAGTATTAGTAGTAGTAGTAGTACTACTAGTATTAGTAATGATAATAGCCGTAGTAGTAATAGAGATAGTAGTAGTAGTTGTTGTTGTAGTTGTAGTTGGTGTAATAGTAGTAGGAGCAATAGCAGTAGTACAGG